GACCAGTACCTGAGCTACCCAATTTAAAGCACTCGTGTCTACATCAAGTACACCCACACTTCTGGCCTCAGTTTAGACACAGAAGTGTCTCTCAACTAATCCTGGTTGGAGCAAGGCAGTTGGTACTTTTCACCTAAATTAGCTGGTTGGATTTAGAACTGTGTGGGAGCCTAATTTTAACACAATATGTTAACTCCTGTGAAAATGAAGGATATCTTTGTCCTCATGGGATTCTAGTTTGAGGCAGTCTGGGTTTTTTCCATTTCCTAGTGTGTGTAAAATTCAAGACCAGGCTGGAGGGAAAGAGGAGAGGATAAATGGTGAGATCTTAAACCTTCCTTCCACCACATTGCAATTGCCTGTGTGTCAGAGGGTAATGTCTTTTGTGCCTGGCAGAAAGCACACCGCCAGATTAGTGCCTCTTCGTGATCTATCTCCTCCCTCTTTGAACCAACTGAGGGATAAGAGGAATTGAATTGGAGTCACTCTCTTAAATTGGATATATAGTATAAATCCTTCTGCCTTTATTGTTAACCCAAGTTGCAGACATGTCGTATCATCCACCACTCAGGGGTGAAAGCTTAAAAATTACACAGTTTCAGGTAGTTCATTCCCTTTTCAGGTCCTGACAGAAAGTTTGCTAGCCTAATGTAGCCAAATGTATATAGTTAGCTAACACTGGCCTGATGTATATTTAGCTGTTCTGATAAATCCTGCCTTTAGCCATAGGTCTTGCCTAGGATATACACAGCCAATTCTGGGAAAGCAAAGCAGACTGCACTAGCAAAAACCTGGTGGTCTGCTAATATTGTCACATAAAGCAAGTGTTCCTGCTTCTGTATCTAACACAAGTATTGCAGCAGAGATGTGGAACACAGGTCACACCTACTGTACTTTACACCTATTTTCTCCACTGTAAGCTTGCTTAGTGGCAATTCAATGGCGCTGACGTTTATTCAGAGCAGATTGTGTTCTGATAATCTAACCCCTCTCTGTTTCAGTTTATTCTAGCAAAAATTACACCCATCCACTATTTTTGATATCTTTTCCATGTTTCTAGGATATTTTAATATGACACCATCAGCAAAAGTAAAGAGGACTTTCAGTAAAATTCCTTTCTTGGTGTAGTCCAGAAACTAAGGTTTCTTCCTGATGAAACTTTAATTGCTCGTAACAATTGATGCTTTCAGTCCTGCCTTCTTCATCTGCCCTAGTGAAAAAGCAGTTGTTGTCCAAAAGATCAAATGAACTTAAGTACAATTTAGAGTGCAAAAATTACTCAAATTTCCATGAAGAAGCCTTATGTAGTAGCAGTGTAGAGATCCCTCTTCAGCATATGTGATATAACAGTACAGTGCAGGCAAAGTTACCGATCAAAGCAGGTGGGTTACAAATAATTTAGAATAAACCTGGTATTTCTTATTCCTCTTGAAAGCTAAGAGGTTGCAAGTGTAAAACTCTAGGCACAGGCTTGATATGCTTATAATGGAGCCGTATTTTTCCACTTAGCTAAAATTTTGGATTAAATTCAAATTCTAATTGTATATAAAAGGGCTTTGTAGTAAACTGGCCTCAAGCTGAATAAAGCATAGCTTATGATTGTTTTTTCCACTCCAAAATTAATAGTGGAAATTTAACAACTAGGCGAAAAGATAGTCTGTTGACTGCTCTCAGTATAAAAATATGGAATGAGTTAAATTTTAAAATGTTAAAGTCCAAAGATAATGAGAAAGCTGTTGACTTCAGTGAGTCCTGTCAGGTCTCTGTGTTTCTAATTTTCCCATTCATTGTTTCTTTTTTTTTTTTTATGCAAAGGATGCCATCCAGCTGCATACCTTAACTGAAAACAGGTAAGCGTATGGAAAATTATTAGCTTTCCTCTGCACTAATTATGCAAATGCATACACATCCCTATGTGTGGTATTAATTTTTTATTATGGTGACTATAACTATAAAAAGATCTAAAAGTGCTACCATCTGTGTCTGTGTCAGACAGTGATCTGGCATGCATGCAGATCCTTTATTCTGTGTATTTTCCCTGGCTAGTTGAAACCAATTCTGTTTTTAATCATGGTACATAGCCATCAAGTCCTTAATTTTTAACAAGGTAGTTATTTTATTGTAGCTTTAATTGTATTGTATTTTATTGTATAGATTATTGTGAATTTAATCTTTAATTGAAATAATTATCCTGTTATTTGACTGGAGAACCCTGTCCTCAGCTGACAATATACCAGAACAGTATGTGTGAGTCCTTATTGTTTAACTTTCTGTACGTGTACAACAGAGTTTAGAATATTACTGGCCACCTGGAGAGGCTGTTCAAATGCTAAAAATTGCTATATGTTTATCTGAGGTACAGGTCATCTCTCCTTTAATACGAGTATGCAATTAATCAGTCATTTTTTCCTATGTCATTGATAATGTTAAACAATGTTAAACTATGTTAAACTCTGACAATGTTCAATACAAAGAGGTTTACTTGCTGGTGATTCTTCACTGGTAATTGCATGTGGAGACCCTTGTGTAGCCCATTTTAGCTCGTACACTGAGGCGTGTTGGTAATCACAACAGGGGTTACTAAGCCTTGAAGAAGTCTCACCCAAGCTTATAATTTGTATTAATTATGTCTCTCCATTATTATAACCTTTCTTAATTCTTAGCTGATGTTTACTGTCAACAATTGCACTATTTGTGAGGTTTCCATACCTGTAATTATGCAGGTCATCTGATAGAAATCCTAGGAAAACACTGACTTTTTATTTTTGAGACATGCGTTATGTATGGATGTCACCATAATACAATGACTTCTTGTTGGCAAGCTTTAGTGAAAAATTGTCCTTTTTGATCAATTTTTCTGTAACTTTCTCTCTCTCAAAAAAAAAAAATACAATGTCTTTGTCACAGATGATGCATGTGCCTTCTTCGTTGGGGAGAGGATGGGGAGTGAGCGAGCAGCTGCATGGTCCTCCTTACTGGCTATGGTTAAACCCCAACACTTGGTAACATCAGCCCACCAAAATCATTTTGGCTGGAAAGCTAAGCTCTAAGTCTGTTACAAAATACAGGTTCCTTAGTTGTCTGTGCATAGACAAACTTTAAGTGTTTTATTACAAGCTTTTTCTACAGATTAATTTTCTTATTTCTAGGTTTGAGGCCAAAGGGTTAAAAATTTATGTTCAAGGGCAGTAATTCATTTGGCAGTTAGTAACTTCCAGGTGTCTGTCCTAGCTAAGTAGTTTATATATATTTTAAGATTGTATTGCTTTCAGTGGTACGCAAGCCGTAAAGTCTTACATGGAGCAAACAGAAGATACTCAGGCTGGAAATGAAAATTACTAATCACTGTAACATTTCATAGCTCTTTTTCTGCCTCATCATCGGTCCATATTTAGAATGGCAGATAAATTTGTTGAACACTAATGTTTTCTGAACCCGCTCACAGCAGATGAGGAATCCAACACTAGGTGTCCTTTTCAATAGAAACACTGTGTGTCTTTCTCAGCCCCCGTTCTGCACGCCTGGTCCTGACATCGCTCTGACTTTCCAGATAAACGGTAGAGGAGCACGATGTGATGCTGCCTCATGTCACTGTCAGAAAATTACCGCAAGGCGCAGGTTAGGGTTCATTTGTTACCAAGAACTTGTGGACGAGATGCAATTTTCAAAGCAGGCAATTTCAAAAAGGAAAAAAAAAAAAACACAAAACAAAACAACTGTGGGGGGCGGAGCCTGCAGAATTACAGCTGTGTAACCCAGGTGTCGGCGACTGCAACAACCGGCCCTGGCAGAGCGGCAGCGGAACGCGGCGGGGGCCGTTGCGGGGGGTTGAGCAGCGGCTCAGGGCAGTCACATCTTCCCCCGCCCCCGCCAGGCCCGTTCCCGCCCGCGGGGCTCCGCCGAGCGCGGCTTCTACCGCCGCCGCGTTAAGGGGAAGCTGTCGGGCGCGGTGACACCAGCGCGGGTGCGGACGGAGTTTCCCGGCGAAGGGATGGATGCGGTGCGCCCCGAGCCCGTCGCTGCTTCTCTTCGCTCTGACGCCGATTTTCCCCGGGCTGAGCCGGCGGTACCGGCCGGGGAACACGCCGAGGCGCGGGGGTAGTCTGACGGGCTGCGCTGGGACCGGCGGGCGGGGCGGAGCTCTGCGGGGGCGGGACAGGGGCTGCCGGCCCGGGGCGGTGCGCCGGGAGGATCGCCCCGCCGGCCCCTCCTCGGGGCGCGTGGCTGCGGCGGCAAAAAACAGCTGCACGGCAGGTTGCGGTGTGACGTCAGGCATAACGTCACAGCGGTGCGGGGACACCAGCCCAGACGCCGTAACGTAAATGCTTTGCCCCCCCCCCCCGCCCCCCA